ATAATGAGGTCTTCCCCATCACAGAGCTGACTTGCAGGCTCCATATCTGAGGCTCCATCAACCTGGATCATACTGTTCCCACCACCCTGATGATTCCCTGAGACCCCACCCACCCAACTTGCTGTCCTACCCAAGCTGTTTACAGCAGCTTTTCCATATGTCCTGGCTCAGGCTTCAGGCTTTCCTAAAATCTCACAAACAAGCAGCAGCTAGAGTCAGTATGCCTATCAGTAAGAGGCCCAAGGCCCAGTACTAGCAGCAAGCTGCCTTGCTTCACAGCTTGGCCTCAACTGGACACTTCCAAGCCCAACACAAGTAGCAGCCATCTGCAGACTGCTCTGTAGCTCCTGCTGGGTGGCCCCAGGCTGTGGCTGACTGCATCTCCCAGGAGGCACCAGAGCCAGTGCACCCAGTGGACAGCTTCAGACCATACGAGATTACAACTCTACACATCCACAAGTGACACATTCAAGGCACAGACTCAGTGAGCACCAAAGCCCCACTAAAGCAAATCCTGCTCCATAGGGGTATCTCCTGCACAGCAGCTCTTCTGCTGTAGTCACAGCTGGTCCTCACAGCCAATTGTCCAGGTGGTCAAATCCTCCCAGTGATGCCAATAGCAATCAAGTTCAACTACAACAAGACTGTGCACACAGCCCACACAGTGGTGTACCTAGTGTGTCCAGCTCAGGTAACTGGGAAGGCTGAACCATTGGGTCCTACAGGACACCTACTACACAAACCCACTCTACCAATTCCAGGAAACATAGCAGCTCTACCTACTACATAGAAACAAACACAGGGAAGAAGTCAAAATGTGGAGACAAAGAAACAGGTCACAAATAAAAGAATAGGAGAAATCTCCAGAAAAAGAACTAAATGAATGGGAGCAAACAAACTCCTAGATACAGAGTTCAAAACAATGGTTATAAGCATACTCAAAGATCTTAATGAGAGCTGACTTGTCAGTGCCAGCAGGAGCACTGCTCAGCATTGCTGCTCTGAGTTGTTCTGAGCCCATATATTCTTTTAAACTCTTCCCGACTACAGCAGGGCTGGTTCCTTCTCGAATCCTGCCCACTGTACTAATGGTTGGGAACTTAGTCCAAGTTCCTCCTTTATCCTCTGCTCACTGAGACACAGGTCAGTTCTTGGTGGCGGGGCAGATAGAGAAGCCATGAGAGGTTGTGGGTATATAAGAATGAGTCTTTATTGCAGAAGCCAATGGCCATATAGCCGTTAGACAAAACAGTTCTCCACAGCAAAGTCCATACAATAGGCAGGCAGCTATACACCGGCTGGTGAACGGGTAAATCTTTCCCACAAAGCAGCATTAGTCTCTGTACCTACAGCTATTATATGAGCAGCCGCATGCTGCCTCTAGACACCTAGCTTTACTTAGCAAGTACCTGAGCTCTCTCCTGGAGCTTCAGCATCAGCAGCTTCTCCTATCTCCCCTGCCCAGCACACTGGCTGGTTAACATGGCAGCTATATCTGAGCTCTCTGTGAGCTCTTAGCCTTACATTGTAGCAGTACCAGCTCTCAGCTCATCTGAGCTCTCTAGCCTCTCCAGCACACATAGGAGCTACATTTTCTGTGTCTGCTGCCTCTGCTTCTTCACACACTCTGCTCTGCCCAGCTGCTCTCTCGAGCAGACAACTATCAGTAACCTGTATATTATTCCAGAGACAAAGAAGCCTAGCTGCCAACAGTGACATCAATCATTTGGGTTACAGAAGGGCACAGTATACCATGTGTCCTTGCACACGCTGGGTATCTTAGCCTGATTATGATTCCCAGGCTCAGAGTCCTTGGACATCCCATTTGGACTCATGACAGAACAGCCTTGAACATCCTGGTGTACGAATAACAAGGCCTCTGTGCTCTCATTGGCATGGTTCCCACAGAGCTTCAAGGGGCTTAGTAAGAACATCAAAGACATGAAAAAGGACCAGTCGGAAATTAAACATACACTAGCTAAAATAAAGAATAATTTACAGGGATTCAACAGTAGAGTAGAGGATTCTGAGAATCAAATCAACGATTTGGAATATGAGGAAGCAAAAAACACCTAATCAGAAGACCAAAAAGAAAAAAGAATCCAAAAGTATGAAGATAGTGTAAGGAGCCTCTGGGACAACTTCAAGCGTACCAACATTTGCATAATGGGGGTGCCAGAAGGAGAAGAGAGAGCGCAAGATATTGAAAACCTATTTGAAGAAATAATGACAGAAAACTTCCCCTACCTGGTGAAAGAAATGGACTTACAAGTTCAGGAAGTGTAGAGAGTCCCAAATAATAGGAACCCAAAGAGGACCACACTAAGACAGATCATAATTAAAATGACAAAAGTTAAAGACAAAGAGAGAATCTTAAAGGCAGCAAGAAAAAAGCAGTTACCTACAAGGGAGATTTCTGATTTCTCAACAGAAACTTTGCAGGCCAGAGGGAGTGGCAAAATATATTCAAAGTGATGAATAACAAGGACCTACAACCAAGATTACTCTACCCAGCAAAGCTATCGTTCAGAATTGAAGGTCAGGTAAAGAGCTTCCACAGATAAGAAAAAGCTAAAGGTGCTCATCACCACCAAACCTGTATTACATGAAATACTGAAGGGCATTCTTTAAGAAGAGGAAGAAGAAGAAAAAAGATAAAATATATGAACAATAAAATGGCAATCCTATATAATAAAACCCTAATATGCAAATCCACCAAATGGCAGAACGACCAGTGGAACGACCGATCGCTATGATGCGCACTGACCACCGGGGGGCAGGTTATCAACACAGGAGCCGCCCCCTGGTGGTCAGTGTGCTCCCACGGGGGGAGCGCCACTCAGCCAGAAGCCGGGCTCCCGGCGGGCGAGTGCAGTGGTGGTGGCGGGAGCTTCTCCTGCCTCTGTTGCAGGAGAGCGGTAAGGAGCGAGGGGTCCTGGACTGCAACAGCCCTGGACTACAAGAGGGATGTCTGATTGCCGGCTTAAGCCCGATCCTTACCGAGGATCGGGCTTAAGCCAGCAGGTGGACATCCCCTGAGAGGTCCCTGTCTGCGAGAGGGCCAGGCCGGGTTGAGGGTTCCCCCTCCACCAGTGCACTAATTTCATGCACCAGGCCTCTGGTAGATGCATATCTATCAACAATTGAATCTAAAAATCAAAATAAACGAACAAGGAATCTAATGAACAAAATAAACTGATAAATAAAATAGAACCAAAGGCATAGAAACATGGATCAAACTGAGGAATTTCAGAGGGAAGGGCGGAGGAGAAGGTGGGAAGAGATTAACCAAAGAACTTATATGCATATATGAATTACCTACGGACATAGACAATATGGTGGTGAGGGCCTGGGGTGGGGCAGGAACCAGGTGGAGGGGGGAATGGGGGTGGGGGGGAAGTGGGATATGAGTAATACTCTCTACAATAAAGATTTTATTTAAAAAGACCATAAAAATTTTAAAAATTTAAACAATACACCCTCCAGCCTTGAGAAAATGAGTAAAAGAGAAAAGGGAGCTTTTACATATCCCACAATAACCTTCAGTGCTATTTAAATTCTTTTTAAAGTAGGCAAATATTACTTTGTAAAATTAATTTTTTCCCCCCAAAAAATCTTGATCACACAACCCGCCAGCTGGAGCCAGCTGCTCTCAGTTGCTTCTAGGTGGAGGTGATCTGCAAGGGCGAGAAAAGAAAGTGGTTGGCGGGCCCATCCCTGACTCACCCACTGGATGGGCACCCAGAATCTCAGGCTACCTGTGGCCTTAGGGAGCACGCCCTCAGCCCCATCCTACAGGATGGTACTAATGGGGCGGTTAGGGCAGGGGGGACCGGCTGGAGGGAGTCAATGGGGGGAAAAAGGGGACACCTGTAATACTTTCAACAATAAAGAATTTTAATCTTGACCACACAATAAAGAGGAATTTTATTCATCTTGTAATCTCAGGACACTCTTCAATTAAAAAGGTCTAGAAATTTCAAAAAGTAAAGTGAAAGCCCTCTCACAAAGTTGACTCTCAACACCTAAGAACTGCTCATATTCCTCATCATAAACATAAGTCAGGAAAGCACTTCCAATTAACGTTAAAATTCAAACAAGTGTATGTTCAGTTATCTTATTACTCTTACAATTGTTTTTGATCAATTAATATTGTGGATGAGCTCATAACTGTACTATTCGCACTTGTACAACTGTTTTTGAGCAGTCACACACATATATCTCAGTTGGAGTTCAAGTATGCACTATGTGTACTATTCATTCATTCATCCATCCCTTCAGCAAACACTCACTGAGAGCCCACAGACTGGGAGACAGCCCTGTGCTGGATGCCAGTCAGTTCTTCCTATAACCCAGGACACCCCCAGTCTCTGAGCTGTTTGGTACTGGACCCCAACGAGATAATAAGTAGGGAAACTGAGTTTTTAAAAAAATATAACTTAACCTTGCCACACATCCAATTTCACGTCTGCTTAATCTAATAATTTTTTAAAATCTGGCTTGCATTTATGTTTACTTCTTCCATTTCATCTCTAGTAATTCTATCGTATTTACAAAAGTATTGCCTGAGTCAGATGGGAATTTTTTTCTTGTCATTTACAGAAAAGTGAGGCCCTGACAGCTTAGATTGTTTTGCCCAAGGACCGCACTGGAGCTACAAGACAAGCAGAGAGCCCAGCCTCGCCGGTGTGAGTCCGATTCGCCTCCGAGTCCAGGGGTCGCCCCAGCCCGCATCAGAATACACGCGCAAGGTCCAACATGTAAATGCTGCACAAAAGGAGGAGAAACTACAACAGCGCGCGCTCTGTTCAAAGTGTCCAGTGGGCCAAGAAGCAAGCCAGCCCCGCCCACAGGCCCCGCCTAGGACCTCAGCCCCGCCCCCATCCCGGGCTCGCCCCGGCTCCGCGCTCCATTCCCCGCGCCAGGCCCGCCCCCGCCCCGGGCTCCGCCCCCTTCAAGCCCCGCCTCCCACGTCACTGGCACCAGCTCCCGCGACTCACCCGGGACCGCCCGAGCTCCGCCTTTCGCTGCAACTCCGAGTGCCGCTCCAGAGCGCTCGCGAAGCCGCCGGGGCGCGCTCTGTCCTCCGTGGACTCGGAACTCTGGCTCCCGGAGCCACTCTCAGCGCCCGAGCCTCCATAGGGCCGAGAGAAGAGGAACACGCGCAGGAAACGACTCTCGGCAGTCACGGCACGGGGCCGACACAGCGCCGCCATGACGGCTCCAGACTGAACCTCTGACCTTCAACCTCTCCGCCAGCGCGCAGGTCACGGGCGGGGCTTCCGTCGCCCCGCCCACTTCCGCACAGCACTACCTGCGGGCGGGGCGCGGGGTAGCCAGCGCATGCGCGGAGTTGGAGGCGAGCCGGGAACCTGGCTGGACTAGTCCGTGGCGGGAGGTCCGGTGCTGGCCGCGGTCCGCTTCGTTCAGCGGGGACAGCGTTTTCGCCCTGGGAGTTTCGCCCTCCCAGGCATCGCGTGGGCCTGGTCCCGCTGCACACGCTGTCCCGCCGCCTGCGCGTGTGCCCAGGTGGCCGCAAGGCTCGGCCCCCACCGCTCTTCGGGTCTTTGTCGGACCCCAAATACGCACGGTCGGGCTCCCGGGGTATTCGCTATGCCACTGGGCATTTAATACGCCATGGATGGACTTACAGTAATTTTGTTCAGCGTCTGCGCCCCCATTTCGCTGTTGGACGGCCGACACCGGCCTCGGACATCTGTGAAACCCTGCTCCATCTCTGCCTGTCCTGCGGCCGGTCCGCCCACGTTCACCAACACGAGGCTTCCCGAGACCCGCTTGTCATCCCCACACCTTACATCCCTCCTAGGCCCTCCTAGGGATTGAGGCTCCGGAATGGGCTTAAATATGCGCCACCGGAGACCCCACCCTCACTCGTGATTTTTCTCCGAGTTTATCCCCCGATGTTAATTCACAGGTTTTGTCCACACTCTTCAAAGCCGAGCCCAATCCCATATTGAACAAGTGTTTACGAATTAAGCTGCCCAACCATCTTCTGCCCAACAATCATATTAATTAGTTCTGTAATTACTTATCTGTAATTAGTGATTTTGAGAGGAGACGGCAAGCACCCTTCCCAGTTTACTTGCAGGCACTTTGACAGGAGGGATTTTTCTGTGAGACAGCCCTGTTTTAATAATGCCTTTATGTTCTCAACTGCACGGTCAGACAAAATACAAAACACCAGAAGTAAACTAACCTCGGGATGGTGCATAACTGTATGAATCGCATATTTACAGACATTATTAGCCAACTGTAAGGTAATCCTTACAAACTCAGTTAAGGGGCTTAAATTCCACTCCAGGTGAGTTCTTCCTTCAGGGCACTTAAACCATGTATTTCCCTTGGCCATTACTTGCATCTTGCATAAGACATTTTGCATTATTCTGTATGGCTGTTGCTCTTTCCTTCTACTTTAGGGAGAAGTGTGGTAACTTACAATGAACATTGGCCTGTGACCTTAAAAACCCTTAATTCACCCTAGCCAATTTGGCTCAGTGGACAGAGCATCAGCCTGCGGACAGGTCCCGGGTTCGATTTTGGTCAAGGCACATGCTCGGGTTGCCAGCTCCATCCCCAGTGGGGGGCATGTAGGAGGCAGCCGATCAATGATTCTCCCTCTCCCTCCCTCTCTGAAATCAATAAAAATTAAAATTTAAAAGAACCCTTAAATCTAGTCTGGACTAATCTTGACCGCAGGCAACCCAACTTAATGTTAATTTGATTCCCTCACTGGTAAAACCAAATTATTAGACCCTGTGTTAAATTTAAGGAAATGTGTGTAAACCTACATCAGTATCTACAGGACAAATGGGATTAGTAATATCCCAGCTCTTAAATAACAGATGTACTGTGTTCCTGTTCTGCCTCAGCCAGATGATAAATTCCTTGAGGATTCTAACAGGTATTGGGACAAATCTTCAAGTTTTTAATATATGAGTGAGTTTGTATCAGCTGATTTCAAGTTGTGCTAAGTTCTCTGCCTTTGGTACAGCATCAGAGCATCAAATGGGAGGATGGGCATATCAGCATGGAGGTATCCGCACACGGTCCTTGCCTGTTCAAGCACCAATCGTAGCATCAGCTCTGATGCAGTGTCTTCATCAGATTCTGACCCTGCTCTACCCCTGGAGCCACTCGTTCTTTATTATATAGGCTGTTCCCCCTATCGCTTGCAAGTAGTTGGTAAGCTTTGTAAAAACATTAGAGATGGCCAATGGCAAGGAAAGTGAATAGGAAGTAGTTCAAGTCCTGGCTCCACACCCCCTGGCTGTGATCTCATCTATGAAAAGGTGATGCTGCCACATCCTTGGGTAAAATATTAAAGGAAATGAGCATACAATGCCAGCACTTACTGAAAGCTCAATAGTGACTACTAGTGGCAACACGGAGGTGATCAGAAATGCATGCCTCTTAAGCTTGCATGAAAACCTGGGGGAAAGGACAGGGCTAGCCATACAATGGGGAGATGTTAGTATCTCAAGTCTTTTCAGCCATAGAGAATACGATCATTAGGGAGTTCATGTAGAAGATGAGTGGGGACAGGCATAGCATTTAAGGAGTTGAAAGAAGAGAATACCAGGAAATAGGCAAACTGAAAAAGTCTCCCCTAGAAACCAAGAGGGAGACTTTAAAGCACGTTGAAATGGAGTGTTAAAATGAAAGATATTACCCACTTAAAAATATTCAAACAGCCGAAACCGGTTTGGCTCAGTGGATAGAGCGTTGGCCTGCGGACTGGGGGGGGTCCCAGGTTCGATTCCGGTCAAGGGCATGTACCTGGGTTGCGGGCACATCCCCAGTGGGAGATGTGCAGGAGGCGGCTGATCGATGTTTCTCTCTCATCGATGTTTCTAACTCTCTATCTCTCTCCCTTCCTCTCTGTAAAAAATCAATAAAATATATTAAAAAAATAAAAATAGCAGGATAAACATTTCTCTAAAAAAAAATTCAAACAACAAAATTGTTTTTTGCTGTATTCTAGGAAAACCACATTAAAATAACCACTACCGGCCAATCTCACTAAGTAACATCAAAATTACATATGAGAGTTGGCAAGGATTTTAGTTGCCTTATAGCTTTTCTCTAAATATGAAATCCTGGCAGGTGACAGGCATATGCAGACCCCACCCTCGGGTGGCTTACCAATGCAGTGAGTTATTTTACCTTAGTTTTGGTTCATTTGTATTTCAGAATGAGGACAATATGAAAATTGTGAAATCTAAGGTTGCAAGTTTACTTGAAAGTTGATACTGCTTGCCCTAGTTGGCTTGGCTCAGTGGATAGAGCGTCGGCCTGTGGATTGAAGGGTCCTGGGTTCGATTCCGGTCAAGGGCATGACCCCCAGTAGGGGGCGTGCAGGAGGCAGCCAATCGATGATGCTCTCTCATCATTGATGTTTCTCTCCCTTCCTCTCTGAAATCAATAAAAAATATTTTAAAAAGTGATACTGCTTTATAGTAACTGTAACCTCACATAGTCCCTATAATTAATCAAATCACAAGGGGACAGTCACTAGTTAGTAGACAAATGTCTCCTCAGGGCAAAAATATGATTTTTCACCTGGGTTTTCAGAGCTATAAAGAAATGTGTACAGTATGATCCAATTTATAAAGGATTCCAGAAAACGCAAACGAGTGACAAAAAGCAGATCAAGGAGAAGAGGGGCCTGAGGGAGAGGTAACAAAAGGGCACAGGAAACCAGTGAGGGGAGCAACGGGTAGTGTCCACTGTGTCGATTGTGGTGGTGATTTGGTGAATGTGTACATATGTTGAAACATTAAACTGTACCCTTAAATTTGAGTCATTCTGGTATGTCAATTATACCTCAATGCTGAAACTAGTTTGGCTCAGTGGATAGAGCGTCGGCTTGCGGACTAAAAGGTCCCAGGTTCGATTCTGGTCAAGGGCATGTACCTGGGTTGCGGGCACATCCCCAGTGGGAGGTGTGCAGGAGGCAGCTGATCGATGTTTCTCTCTCATCGATGTTTCTAACTCTCTATCTCTCTCCCTTCCTCTCTCTTAAATTTGAGTCATTCTGGTATGTCAATTATACCTCAATAAAATTATTTTTAAAAAGAAACGAGAAATCGATGTGATCCTGACAGGGCCTTCCCCAGCACCCGCTCTGGCACATACACACACATCCACCTGCAAAGGCTCTGGGTGGACAGCACGCAGCCTCCCGTTGGAGTCACTGATTCAGTTTTGTTTGGTAGCTGCTTGTGTTTCTCCATGTCCAGGACGTGGAGGGTCTGGAGAGAAGCTGTCCCACCTGAGGTGACATATATAAGACGACCCAAACCCAAAGTATAGAATTTTTATTGTTTTCAAATGCTATACAAAAGAAAAATAGACAGTGTGCATTTCTTGATTAACAGATCCAGAAATAGTGACCCCAAATTAAACATGCTTGTTTCTCTATTTCAGTAGTTTGAGTTACCAAGATGATAATCCAGTGAGTTCTCTCCCAGTGATTACTTTGGCCTCATAAGCAAAAGAATTCTTTGTTTATTCCCACAAACTCCATACACCAAAGACAGTTCCTTTGTAAGAAGGGGACACTTCAGAGGTGATTTTCTCCTCTGAAGCTTCTTGAATCCTTGAATATCTGAGAGTTTGCTCTCAAGTTGCTGTTTTCTTAGTGTCAAACATAAAACACAACAGAGGGAACTGTGAGTTCATAACATGGAATCCTCACAAAGACCACTTTGAATATTTCCAAATCCATGTCTATTTTTCTAAATTCACCCTCCCCCTACTTTGACTACTTTAAGAGGCAACTTACTATGCAATAGATTAAATCATTTTTAGATTAAGTGTAGTGATTCTCTGATTTCTCCTGTCACAGCCATCGCCTATACCCCGGCACACCCACCCCATTTCTACCCCATTTCTATCACTTCTCTGCATAAGCTAACGAGACTTGAGGATATTTCACTTAACTAAAAAGTTGCCGTCTTACTCCACTTTGCCTTGTTGAGAAGATAGTAACAGCAGGATGCTCAAGAAACAACATGATGAAAAGGTATTGTGATAAAAAACTTAAAGATGACATAGTTGGTAGAAAAATATAACTTAACAGTTATGCTGAGTAACCACAATATTTCTATTTAAAAAAGAAACATATTTCTACAGATCTCCCCAGGGACAATGCTGCAATGACCTTCGCCTTAAATCCTCTATAAGGAAATAATTTATAATATGTTAGCCTAATCCCATTAAGTAATGATTTAAAGGGGATGGTAAAACACAACACCCCCCTTTTTTAGCATAGACACCCACTGATTATTTAATACAGCAAGCTGTTTGCAGACCATTGGTCTCATAGTAATATCGAGATCTATACTATTGGCATACAGAATTTATTAAGCTTTTTACACATAATAGAGCAGAGTTCCTATTGTATCTAAAGTGCTAACAAGCTCTAATAATCAAGACGGGCAGCATGTTACTTGAGAACAGTCAACACTTGTGCATTTTCAAATGTGGTTTCCTAAGATAATTTCTGTCCAAGTGAAGCTAGCCATGCTTTTTAATAACGCTTTAGGTCACTCCAAGCTTGGCAATTAACATCTGGCATAAACAATAATAAAACTATCACAACTTGATAAATAACAAATACAACATTGTAGGCCATAACCATACACAGCAGAAGGAAAAGGTAGTGGTGACGAATCAGTAGCTGTTACAATTAACAGAGCACATGCCTCCATGCAGTTCCTTCCAGAGTATTTGGTGCACTCAGTCCTGACACGCAGTGCTTGAAGCAGGGCACAATGTCTGCAGAATCATGTAATAATTTCTAACACACTGAAAACATGTCAGTAGAAAATGGTGAGTTGATTTTTATTAATGCATTAAATCCTGTGGAGTTATCACCAACCCCTTAGTATAAAATCTGTTCAACTTATATTAGATAACTCTGTGTGCTTCTTATTTTTAAATGGTGGGAAATGAATTAAATGAAGACAGGAATGATTTCCCTAATGTGACTGATTTTAGCATTTTTACCTCTAACTAGGTCTAAAAAACTTCTGGCTTTTGAATTGATTATTTGAAGAGAGTGTTCCTTTATCAACCTACTGATAATACAACATGCTTGATTCAGAATGTTATCCTGCATACTCTGAAACACAACTTTAATCCAGTGAAAAACAGGGTGATGTAAGTGGCATAAGAACCAGTGCACTGAAATGATTACTGTCACAAATGGTGACAAGGATGTGGGGTCCCTCTCCAGTCACTAAGGAGTTTGAATTACTGTACATATTGTCACTTATAAAATAACTAGAGGCCCGGTGCACGAATTCATGCATGGGTGGGGTCCCTAGGCCTGGCCGGCGATCATGGCCGATCGGGGCCTGCTGGCCGGGGGGAAAAACAGGGGGAGGGACCATGGGAGGTTGGCTGTGAGAGCGCACTGACTACCAGGGGGCAGCTCCTGCGTTGAGCGTCTGCCCCCTGGTGGTCAGTACACGTCACAGTGACTGGTCGACCGGTTGTTCCGGTCATTCGGTCATAAGGGTTGCTTAGGCTTTTATATATATAGATAACTAGTGGGATGTAGAACTGATGTACTTAGTTTTCTGTCTTCAGGCACCCAAGATATAAGATAACCTCACACCAAACAATGTCTACTCCACAATGTCTGCAGCTGGTAGTTCTTCCCTTGGAGGTGAAGGAAATTATGCCAAGACTTTTAATAACCAGGATTCAGAAAACTTAAAGAGGTTTGAAAAAGGAGGAAAAGAAAATGATATAGAAGACAAAGACCAAACTGGCATCCCAGATCCAAAGCGATTTGGGGAAGCAGGAAAGCCATGCTGACAGCCTGCCGCTTCTCCAATCATCCTAGCAAGGGTCCCCGGGTACCACCCGTGTTTGTGTAATGGTGCTTCCTACGTCAAGGGCCTGAAAGGCACATTGAAGGGTGTTTCCCAGGGACAGAGGTGAAGATATTTTTATTTTGTTTAACCCACAGACTATTTAGTCAAAGGAATACATAAGGCGAAATGAAAGCACGTGGGGTGGGAATTCACGGCGATGAAGGCTGACAAGATGTGCTTGGGTCTCGCTGGCAGCATCTGGCAGTGGTGCAGGACAGTGGCAGGACCTCACGGGCCCGCCTGGGTCTGCTCTGGAAGAGGCTCCGTGGCCGTGGCACTAGCACTGGCAGTCGAATTCAAGACGTCTCCGAAATCACCGCCGGCAGGCTTGGTCCCCCCTACTTTAGACTTTTTAAGAAGTTCAAAAAGAAAGAGACATCATGAAACACACTTAGCTGTCTCTAAGAAATTACACATTTCTTTTCAGCATTTAGGATGCTACCATGCTACAACGTACACTCAAAACACTGATTAAAACTGATCACCTTAAATGTATTAATCATGTAAATAATAAAGTTATTAAAGTTCTTTAAAATAGTAATCTACCCACACCAAAGAGAGTTCAGACAGCAAACAAGATAACAAAAAAACCATGTTCACCTCTCTACTTGCCTTTAAGTTTTCAACCTTCTCTTCAAATGATTTGAAAGTTGGGGAGTTTCTATGGAGAGAAAAAAATATATATATAGTAAAAAAAGAAAGCCACAAATGTTGAAACCATCATTAGTTGACTGTATTCCTCTTAGCCATTACTCTCAGCAAAGGAACAGGTATCTCTGTCGACCCCACAGGCGTGCAGGCGCACACACAGGTGTATTGTGGAAAACTGTCCACTTCTATTCTAAGATTTCTACAGTGATGCTTTTGGCCCAGGAACAAAGCCAGTCTAAGACATATAAACGGAGATACAGTCAAGTGCATGTGTGGTAACACACCAACTGGTCAGGTAACACACCAACTCTTGTCACTTCCCCAACCAACGTGTCACGCAGTCAGTTTAGCCTGGCTAAGGCACCACGCTCTGGAACTCGCGTTTAAGTCCACACGTTGCCTGGCACGACTCCTGCGTGAATCCACATCATCAAGCAGGACACGCCAACCGGAGGCGGTCCTGTAACAGGGATCAGCTCCCCAGGGGGCTTCATAATAGAGGAGGAAGGAGCCCAGAAACCTGGCTCAGCCTCTGCACAAAGCTGCCCCGGGGCAGAAGCTCTGCGCCATGGAGAGCCCCTCCCACACCTTCAGGCCCATCCACATTCATCCAGGGGGATCGTAGTGCCTTGGTCACTCCCATCAGGGTGGCTGCATGTTACTATCCACCCAACCTCGAATATCCTTCCTGCCACCAAGATGAAGGTGAGGGAGGGGACAGGGCCTTCCTCCTTGCACAGTGCCCATCAGCAGCCAGTCTCAAAGTGTGGTCCCTGACTAGCTGCATCTGTAGCTCTAGGCAACCTGTTCACAATGCGGACAACCTGTCCACCCTAGGCGGACAAAATGAGAAACTCTAGCGGGGCGGGGGGTGGCAAGCAGGGGGCCCTTAACAAGCCCTCCAGGTGGTTCTGCTGCCCACTGCCAGTGAAGCCAAACAGGCTGTTGGAGACCCTCCACCTGCCTCTCTAGGGAGGTAGGTGAGGCCCTGACATGTAGGATTTGCAAGGGCATCCTGATGAAAAAGGACAGAATTAAGTCACGGGTGGTTCCAAACGTCCCTGTGGGATGAGGGACCTGGAAACGGAGGGTGGAGAAAGGGGAGTGTGACTAAGCTACAATGGACAGAGGTCCAGGCACCGGCATTTGTGAGAAGAAAGGGTTTATTTGATGAGTCATGGTCATATTTTCAATGAAACGGATTTCAGATATAAAACAATAGATTTACAAAATAAAACAAATAATTGTTTTTTTTAAAGAAATCACAGCATTTAATGGAGCTCTCACACCCATCCTATCGTGATAGGAGGAGCAGCCGAAAACTGACCCAGAGCCTAAAGCAGCGGCTTGTTTAGGGAGAACTCTGGCTTCCACTTCAGAAAGTTCCTGGTGATCATCTCAACAAAGACTGAGAAAGCAGAAGACCAACAACACTTTGTAAAAATATACTTTACCTCATAGCGGGCATGCTAATTGAATGCTGAATGGAGCGTATACTAAGGCAGCATTAAAAAGAGAAAAATGAAGTTAGTACACGGGTGATGAGACATGAAAAACAAACAGAAGTCGGCTTTTAGAAGCACGTTCCTGTGGCACTGTGAAGAATTATCTACTTTTTGAGGTGGAGGGGGTCAAAGTTACTCTAATATGTACTTCTACTCCTGAGCCAGAAGTTAACAGCCAACAATTCAACCCTGCATGTTTACAGCATTGGTGGAAATTGCATCTGTTGGGCATCAAGCACCCGGCTCAGAAGTACAAGGTCACGGCGGAATCAAGAGTGAAACCCAGATCACCCAGTCGGTTTGGCTCAGTGGTTGAGTGTTGACCTCTGAACAAGGAGGTCATAGTTGGATTCCCGGTCAGGGCACATGTCCAATTGCAGGCGCGATCCCCAGTAGAGAGCGTGCAGAAGGCAGCTGATCAATGGTTCTCTCTCATCATTGATGTTTCTATCTCTCTCTCCCTTCCTCTCTGAAATCAATAAAAAAAATATATTTTTTAAAAAAATGGAACCCAGGTCTTTGGGACTCCCAAGTTAATGTTCACCACCTCCCCTCAAAAATCAGTGCGCACACATACAGGTACACACATACAAGCCAGGCCAGGGGAGGGCTCCTCGGCCATCTTTCTCCCACGTATTATTTGTCACCAGAACAGGAAAGTTCAAAACGAATCACCTATTTGGTGATGTTAAGTGATTTACATATGCCTCCTTGGTAGTAGTCACACCAGTTTTCTAAGTAAGAGACACTTGTATTTCACATCAATTAAATGAAATGTTCTTAATGGTCATTCACATAACATTCGGCCCCTGTTTGACTAGGACCAACTTCTTATTCAAGGGCAATGCGTTCACTGACCGCTCAGGGTCCAGGTCACCTCCTCTCAGCCGCCTCCCACAGAGGCCACCTCACAAGAAGGCCTTTCCTGGGCTCACAGTTAGGAATCCTGCTGATGCTGTTACTGGGCTTAGAACACTCTGACAGCATTTTTGGTAAATAATTTCCTTTGGTTAAGGTATTAATTCTCTATTCCTTTTTAAAAATCGTGTGTGTGTGTGTGTGTGTGTGTGTGTGTGTGAGAGAGAGAGAGAGAGAGAGAGAGAGAGAGAGAGAGAGAGAGATTTAATTTTCTCAAAGACTGAGCTGTTACAAGTGACAACGTGTTTCCAGTGTAGCTCCCCAAAACTAGCTTTGCATTAATATGTAATAATATGAAGTATGATCTTGATATAAACCAAGATATGCTGGCAGCTGGTGTAGTCAAGATAATGAGTAAACCAACCACTTGGACATCTTCAGACTTAATGCCTTCGTAACACAGGAAAAGACCCACACAGCATTCTCTGTCCTAGAACGGTGGGAATCTATTCTGAGAGAAATCTGCTCATTCTTTGCCTGCTTGATGTTGGATCCATATTTGAAGGATAGAAATTAATAAAAATCAATAGAAGGACTCCAGATGTTACTGGCCCCTCCTGGGGACCCTAAAAAAGCTGCCTACAGCCAAACAGCCACACTGCCACTTCGGCCAGCTGACACCTGGACCATAGCTACCCTCCTGGTGATGTACAAACTGTTTGGACTGAATGGAAAAAAGAGCTCAGACGATTGGGATTCTCGTCCAGAGAGGCTGTGATCAGGACACTCAGCCGCTGTCAGTCAGTGGCAGATACTTGAGCTCAAATGTCCAGGAAGACATTTTGGGGACCAGGTGCCAGCTGCAAGAACGCAGAGGAGCCCAATACAAGTAAAAAATAGCTATAGGTTTATATAAAAAAACATGTTTAAAAAAAAAAAGGAAATCTCCTTTGGAAATAAAGACAAATTAGCACTTCCTCTTATGTATACCAAAAATACTTGCTAATAAGGCTACTGAATTATTATATACGCTATTAAAAACTCTAACATCGATGTTCATCACCAGAACCAAGGGGTGGTTTAATGTATTTTTCTCAAAACATTAAAGCAAGAGTCAGTGCTAAGCACATACATGCAGAAGGTAAGCAAACGAGAGGCTGGATCTGAACTCGCCAACGGGAAAGCTGGCCGTCCCCAGAGGGCCTCCCGGCTAACACTCCTCACCGCCTCCCTCCCTCACTGCACCTGCCTCTCAGGGCGTCAAAAACAGATCTCTCCTCCCCCCTTCTCCCCCACACCAGGTCAAGGCTTAAGACAGATATCCAAATCCCAAGTGCTAATTTATTGATTGACCACATAAAATAAAAACTGCTGCTGAGCTTAACAATTCCATTCAGCAGAATTCCCACAATTCCTGCAGACTGAGATGCCTGCCCCTGTCCTCTGGGTGAGCAAGGAGCCAGCACAAAGGGGACTTAACAGGATTAACCGGCCACTCCAGGGGCGCCTACGTCCAGAAAATGCCTGCTGCTGCGAGAGAAACTATCCCAGCTCCCTCTCCCTGAAGGGTCCTCGGGCACATGGCTTGTATTTGCCTCTGCAACTCACTGATTTAAAAGATGTGGTTTTGCCCTAGCTGGTTTGGCTCAGTGGGTAGAGCATTGGCCTGCAGACCAAAGGGTTCTGGGTTCGATTCCAGTCAAGGGCACATGCCTGGGTTGCAGGCTCAATCCACAGTAGGGGGCGTGCAGGAGGCAGCCAATCAATGATTCTCTCTCATTGTTGAAGTTTCTATCTCTCTCCCTCTCCCTTCCTCTCTGAAATCAATAAAAATATATTTTTTAAAAAATAAATAAAAGATGTGTTTTTCTTTACATATGTTTCCTGTTAGGTATGTTTTCACATGTTTTCTATTCTAGATGAACACATTAAATCAGATTACAGTCAGGACTTCTTGACCTAGAAATTATTTTTTAAATGACTTTCCCCAAGTTTTAATCTGTAAGAATTATCAAATTTAGTTAGCTTTCAAAAGACAATCTTATTGCTCTCATTTCCAAATTTTAATCAAAAGCCTTACTTTAACTTCCACATACTGGCATGCAATAGATCATTAAAGACAGGGCTGGCAAAGGAGGAGCACATCAGCTCAGTAATGTTCTTTTAAAGCTGAGAGAAGGGATTGCGGGTGGCGCTGGAGAGGAGCAGCGACACTCAGTGCCTTTCCGGTGAAGCGCTGAGGCGGCATGGGGCTCCCCCTCATGCATTCGCTGGCTCTTTCCAAAGTAGAACGAGAACAGTGCTCAACGTCATTTCTCCAGAGCACCACAGGCTTTCAGGTCTGTGTTCAGATCACATCTAACACTGTCTGTAACCAGGTAGGAACAGAGCTCTCCATTCCCAGCTCCTTGCCAGGCCCCACTCTCCTCCCGCTCCATCCACCAAGATGTTCAAGTTCTTCCCAAAGGAACCAGATGGGTGAGTGGCTGTGCTTTGGACCTGCCCCCAACAGCCACCTGGATGTTTGCAGGATGGAGGATGGGACTGAATATGTATTAGGACTCACATAGCTTTAGAGAAAACTGTCGAAACCACTACCTGAAGCACTAGACCATTTTTTAAAAATCTTTATTGTTGAAAGTATTACACATGTCCTCCCCCACTGACACCCTCCAGCCCCCGCGCCCGCAGCCCCCAGGCCTTCACCACTGTATTGTCTGTGTCCATGGGTTATGCATATATGCATACAAGGTCTTTGGTTGATTACTACCACACACCCGCCCACCCTCCCTGCCTTCCCTCTGAGATTCCGCACTCTACTCCATGCTTCCATGTGCCTGGCTCCACTCCGTCACCAGTTTATTTTGATACTTAGATTCCACATTGAGTGAGATCATGTGATACTTGTCTTTCTCTGACTTATTTCACTAGCACGATACTCTCCAGATCCCTCCATGCTGTCTCAGAGGGTAAGAGATTCTTTTTTACTACTGCATACATCAGTGACTTTGAGCATTTTTTCATATGTCTCTTGGCATCTGTATGTCCACTTGGGAGAAGAGTCTCTTTAGGTCCTTTGCCCATTTTTTGACTGGATTGTTTGTCTTCCCTGAGCACTCTAAAATCTTTATTGTTGAAAGTATTACATAGGTCTCTTTTATCCCCCATTGACCTCTCCCAGCCTGCTCCCACACCCCAGCACAGGCCCTCACCCCCCTGCTGTCTGTGTCCATTGGTTATGTTTACATGCATGCATACAAGCCCTTTGGTTGATCTCTTACCCCCACCCCCACCCCCTGCCTTCCCTCTGAGGTTGGACAGTCTTCTGTGTCTCTGGATCTATTTTTGTTCATTAGTTTATGTTGTTTATTATATTCTACAAATGAGTGAGACCATGTGATATTTATCTTTCTCCGGCTGGCTTATTTCACTTAGCATGATGCTCTCCAGGTCCATCCATGCTGTTACAAATGATAGACTTTCTTTTTCATAGCTGCATAGTATTCCATGTGTAGATGTACCACAGTTTTTTAATCCACTCATCTGCTAATGGGCACTTAGGCTGTTTCCAAATCTTAGCTATTGTAATTGTGCTGCTATAAACACAGGGGTGCATATATTCTTTCTGATTGGTGTTTCTGATTTCTTGGGATATATTCCTAAAAGTGGAATTACTGGGTCAAATGGGAGTTCCATTTTTAATTTTTGAGGAAACTCCATACTGTTTTCCCCAATGGCTGCACCAGTCTGCGTTCCCACCAGCAGTGCACGAGGGATCCTTTTTCTCCACAACCTCACCAGCACTTGTCGTTTGTTGATGATAGCCATTCTGACAGGTATGAGATGGTACCTCATTGTTGTTTTGATTTGCATCTCTCTGATAGATCAGTGACTTTGAGCGTGTTTTCATATGTCTCTTGACCTTCTGTCTGTCCACTTTGGAGAAGTGTCTATTTAGGTCCTTTGCCCATTTTTTTTATTGGATGGTTTGTCTTACTTGTTAAGTTGTATGAGTTCCCTATAAGTTTTGGAGATTAAACCCATATCGGATTAACATTGGCAAATATGTTCTCCCATGCACTGGGCTTTCTTGTTTTGTTGATGGTTTCTTTTGCTGTGCAGCTTTTTATTTTAATGTAGTCCATTTATTTATTTTCTCCTTAGTTTCCATTGTCCTAGGAGCTGTATCAGTAAATATATTGCTATGAGATATGTCTGGTATCTAAGATTTTTATGGTTTCCCATCTTATGTTTAAGTATTTTATCCATTTTGAGTTTATTCTTGTGTATGGTGTAAGTTGGTGGTCTAGTTTTATTTTTTACATGTATCTGTACAATTTTCCCAACACCATTTACTGAAGAGACTGTCTTGACTCCATTGTATGCTCTTGCCTCCTTTGTCAAATATTGAGTGTAATGGCTTGGGTAGATTTCTGGGGTCTCTGTTCTGTTCCATTGATCTATCTTCCTGTTCTTGTGCCAGTACCAGGCTGTTCTGATTACGGTGGCTTTGCAGTATAACTTGATATATGGTATTGTGATTCCTCCAACTTTGTTCTTCTTTCTCAAGATTGCTGCAGCTATTCAGGGTCTTTTTTGGTTCCATATAAATTTTTGGACTATTTGTTCTCAATCTGTGAAATATGCTGTTGGTATTTTAATGGGGATTGCATTGAATCTACAGATTGCTTAGCATAGTAAAGACATTTTAATGATGTTAATTCAACCAATCCATGAACACAGTATACTCTTCTACTTGTTTATAACTCCCTCTATCTCTTTTTTCAATGTCTTATAGTTTTCCAAGTACAAGTCTTTTACCTCCTTGGTTAAGTTTATTCCTAAGTATCTTAATTTTTTTGTTGCAATGGTAAAAGGGATTGTTTGTTTAGTTTCTCTTTGAGAATTCATTATTCTAAAAAAGCCATCGATTTTGGGGTGTTGATTTTGTATCCTGCTACACTGCCAAATTCTTTAAGTCTAGTAGTTCTTTGGTGGAGTCTTTAGAGTTTTCTACTTTACAATATCATGTCATCTGAGAATAATGAGTTTTACTTCCTCCCTTCCAATTTGGATGCCTTTTATTTCTTCTTCTTGTCTGATCGCTATGGCTAGCACTTCCAGTGCTATGTTGAACAGGAGTGGTGAAAGTGGACATCCCTGTCTTGCTCCTGTTCTTAGGGAAAATGACTTTAGTTTTTGCCCATTCAGTCTGATGTTGGCTGTAGGTCTGTCATATATGGTCTTTATCATGTTGAGATATACTCCCTCTATTCCCACTTTGCTGAGAATATGGGTATTGGATTTATCAAATATGGGTATTGGAATTTGTCAAATGCTTTTCCTGCATCTTTTGATATGATAATGTGATTTTTGTCTTTCCATTTGTTTATGTGATGTGTCATGTTTATTGATTTGTGGATATTGTACCAGCCTTGCATCTCTGGAATAAATCCCACTGGTCATGGTGTAGGATCTTTCTAATGTAATGCTGGATCTGATTTGCTTATATTTTGTTGAGGATTTTAGCATCTATGTTCATCAGGGATATTGGCCTGTATTCTCTTTCTGTGTAGTGTCTTTATCTGGTTTTAGAATTAGGATAATGCTGGGTTTATAAAAAGAGCTTGGAAGTGTTCCTTCCTCTTGGATTTTTTGGAATAGTTTAAGAAGTATAGGTGTTAGTTCTTCTTTGACTGTCTGGTAAAACTCTCCTGTGAAGCCATGCAAACCCAGGCTTTCATCTGCTGAGAGTTTTTTTGATTACTGCTTCTATTTCATCAGTTGTTACTGGACTATTCAGGTTTTCTGATTCTTCCTGATTGAGTTTTGGAAAATTGTATTTTTCTAGGAATTTTTCCATTTCATCCACATTGTCCAGTTTGTTGGCACATAGTGGTTCATAGTATTTTCTTACAATCCTTTGTATTTCTGTGGTGTCAGTGGTTACTTCTCCACTTTTGTTCCTGATTTTGTTTATTTGGGTCCTCTCTCTTTGTTTCTTGGTGAGTCTGGCTAATAGTTCATCAATCTTGTTTATCTTTTCAGAGAACCAGTTCTTGTTTTCATTGACTTTTTGTATTTTTTTCTTTAGTCTCTATCACTTAGACCAGTGGTCGGCAAACTGAGGCCCCTTGAGTGTGGCTCTTCCACAAAATACCATGTGCGGGCGCGCACGTACAGTGAGATTGAAACTTCGTGGCCACACTCAAGGGGCCAAAGAGCCGCATGTGGCTCGCGAGCCGCAGTTTGCCGACCACTGACTTAGACCATTTTTAATTGAACACTGAAGATACAGAATCCCTTATCACTGACTTCTTGCTTTTTTAAAGCACAATTTTAGCTTTATATGGTTCAATATTTAGACTTCATTTATCCCTGTCATTTACTCTGACCTGCAGGGCTGTGTCCCCAGGACAGAAGGGCCTCGGCCATAAGTCCCGTTTGCTTAAGATGACAAACAGCTGGATAGCGAGTGACCGAGAAGACCGTTCGCATGAGCAGGACAGAGATGGCGACCACTCAGCCTTCTGCCTGCACTCGGGGGACCCCTCCACCCTGGCCTCCTGACTAATGCTTAGCCATCTGTACGGGCAGGCGAGCGGTGCCCTCAGCATCGCGGTGGCTCCTTCTGGAAGGCACCGTCTGGCCTGACATCTTTTTGATGGGCTTTCCCTTTTGGCCCAATAGACTTTAGTTTTCCTTTAACGCCCCGGAAACGTCCCTGTGTGCACAGTTAAATAATATAACGACAGAAAAGAAGTAATAGTAAAAACTTTAAGCTAGTAAAATAGGTACTAAAAAGTGCAGAGAAATAGCATATTTTATCTTATGTGTGTTTTACCATACACACATTTTATCGTATGTATAGTTTGCCACATACATAAAGAACACTCGGAGTGCGCTGTAGGAGACGGAAACTGCCAGTGTGAGCCAGGCCGGCACGAGTGCACGTGGGAGCAGGCAGACACATCCTTATGAGGGAACCAAAGAAATGAAAGCACCAAACAAAGTCAGATGTTAGAAGGGAGGGATTCTGCACACCATGGCAGAGGTTTCTTTAAAAAAATGAAAGTAAAAAAGAAATGTCAAAATCATATGCACAGCCCTTGAACCACAATGTCCAACACTTCTTTCAATTCATTACCCATGGTCTACAAGAAACCCTCCCTTAAAACACAGGAACAGCACCAGAGAGAAAAGTATTCCAAATGCAAGAAAGTCAGGCAGCGGACGAACACGACCATCCAACTCGGCACCACAACCTAAGGAAGCACACGCGTCAGACGACAGCTGAGCCGCCTGACGGTGCGGACGCTCCTTACCTAAAGGAGTGGGAAAAGGCTTGCAATCTGCAAGAAGCCAGAGCCAGCATTAAAAAAGAAAGGAAGTTCGGGTAAATCTAAAACAATTCAATCACCCCCTTTTCCAAAGTCAGGTTTGAGCTGGATTCTGAAATGCCACACAGCACGACAGGAGCTGAGAGCATGACAGGGGTCTGTCATCGTGAGCAGGTTCAAGGACGCTGCACTCATCACCTTATGCTCAAGACAACGGCAGAACAAATGCAAAGAGCAAGTTCTTTGGCGTTCTGCGTACAAAGGCTACTAATACCCGGATTGCCAAAGTTGTCCAGCCAACAAAATTCTGGTTGTAAAATCTGTCCCCACAAATGAAGAGCACAGAGCCGTGCAATCTAAGGGTTTTGTTTTTAAAACAAGTCATTCATGCCAACAGAAGCACAGCCAATTAAAGCCACATCCACCCTTCCCAGTGCTACTCTAATCCACGCGGTGGGGGCACACATGGGAAGCGGGTTTATCAACATGGCCAGGAAAATTCTGCAGACTCAACAGAAATGCAAAATAAAAAGCAACAGTGCAAAATCAAGATTTGGGCATAAGCAGGAACACAGATACGGCTTATAAATTAGTGCATAGCCGTGCACAGGTGAGCATGCTACAGTGTCACTGCTGTGTGAAAACGCACCACGGAGAAGGCAAGGCAGGTCTCAGGCCACACATGCGTTCTGGTGCTCCTGGACTCACCCCCAGGGAGATACCACACTCGGCCCACGACTACAACTTGCGACCACAGGGGCATACTAACTCCATATGATCAGGAAGGACTCAAAGGACAAAAGTTCACAACCAGAATTGTTCAAGAACTTTAAATGAATTCATAAGGTGATTACTGTGAACACTATACCTAAAGGTTAGAGGGCCAGGCCTGGGGGACCTGCAGGGCCTGGTTTGAAGGCGTGCCGCTGCCCGGGCACAGAATCCAGGGTTACCAGGAATCAGACCCGGGGCACTGAGGCACCCACAGCACATTGCCATCTGCCTCAGCCACAGAATGAGCCAGAAAAAACAGGACGTACTTTACGTCTTCCAGCTTCTTGGTGATGACCGAGCCCACCGATGCAAAAGCAGCCGATGCTTTCTGTCCGGCTTGAGACAAGGTTTCAGACGTCTTTTTGTATCTGCATGGAAGTATAACAGAACAGATCAAAGAAAAGTAAGCAAACCTTTATTTCTAGAGCATCTAAAATCCTTCCCAACCACCGGTAGGCCTCATTGCAGCATCCAAATCCTTAACAATCACTGTGGACACAACCTTCTGCGTTGCCCGGACAGCCAGAAGGACAGAGGCCTGGGAAGGGCAAGGTTAGAGCGAGGGCTAAAAGTAGTCCCGGAGCAACAATGACAATGAGCCAGAGGCTGAAAGAAAGGACACCTCTTACCCTTGCCTTTGCCAGGTAAGCCAAACGAAACAAAAATGAAATCAAATTCCTCACACACTTTCTACCAGTTTCTCTCCTAAAAAGGGGCCAGAAGCAAGGTCGGCCACGTGCACTTTATTATCCAAATGAACCGAATGAGCATACAGAATAGCCGAATGCTGCACGTCTGCAGAGCCACCAGATAAGGGCTGGTGGACTCTCACCAGAGAACCTCAAGGTCCGATATTTAGAATAACCGTGACACCCGACTGTGATGTTTGTTGGCTGGGACACCCAGGGATGACTCACTGCCTCCCTCTCTCGTCTCCCCAGGGATTAGCAAAGGGGAAAACAGCAACAAAACAAAAGGATACGGTACCCACAGCAAAGGGGTCCAGAATCCACATTATAGGAAAGAACGACCCCTTTGCGATCGATATGAAAAACAAACGCAGTTTAACGGTTTCCTGCGTGTCTCCCCACTGCCTCCATGTCTGGGCAGAAAGGGGGCCCTGGGGGTGGGCACCCTGGTGCAGTCATGTCAGATCAGTGGGCCTCGCTGCTGCGGGTCCCAGCTCAGCAGGTGGGACTGAGTGCAGGTGACAGAGAGCACAGCTCGGAATCTATTGCTAGACTTGAGCTCCTCCTCGTGTCGGAAACCAAATGCATCCCGTGATCCAAATGACGAAAAGATAAAGGGGCGGGCCTCTGCCGCCAGCACGTGTCAGAGGTGCTGACCCGCAAGTCTCCTGGGAAGTGGAGAGCAGGGCAGAAGGACCCTGCCTCCCCCTTTCTGACAGGTATGTGACTCGCGACTTCCCTGGTCCCATCTCCTGGTCCAGAGTTCTCTCACCACCCACTCTATCCCGTTACTCCGAGAACTAAATGCCATGTGCGGATCTGGCAAGTCAACACCTAACGCTTTTGGAACTTAAACGATATTTCCTTGACTCATGTTGAGGCTGGTTTTCTTTCTAGTCCCTGCAACAGTCTGAAAGGCCGAAGTCACAGGAGAGTCAGGTACACTTGAGAACTAGGGGAAAGGGCTCGGCTTAGCACAAAGACAAGCTGCAGAACCGTCCTCGCTGCCTTTCTAGTCCCTCCCCAGACAAAAGGGGCAAAGGCGCCCTTTAATTCTCCAGACCAGCGTGTGGTCCAGGGGACTTACGCAGGCGTCGCGGTCACGTCCTGCCACCCTTTGGCAATGTTCTGCCGGAGCTCCTGGAGGGAGCTGATCCCCAGCTTCCGCTTGATCTCCGCCAGGTGCTTCTCCTTCGCGGCCAGCACCTGAGACAGAGTCTGGATCTCCTCTTCCACCTGCAGGAAGAGGTTGGGGTGAGAACACAGCAAGGTCATTCGACGAGGTAAGGTTGTTAGTGCAAAACTGTACTCCAAATCCTCACGTCATTTCGAAACGCTGTTTGACCACTGTATCTGTCTCTTGCTATATAACATATGCTACGCTGTTAAATAAATGGTGATGTGCTCCTCTCTCCTGTGAGGCTTCTCTTTCTTCTCCCGCTATTTCCATGTGGCCGTGCCCTCAGCGGTCCTGCACCCTCTCCCCTGTCCCTGTACGTCCTCACTCAGCTGTCTCCCAGGCTTAGGACTCAAACCTCCACACAGGTAATATTCACATCATCCTAATACCCCTCGCCTGACCTCTGGCCCACATGTCTTGCTGGACATTGCTCCTCGAATGCCTGTAAAACCCAGTATTTGCAAACTCAACTCAAGCGAATCTCCATCTCCCACCAAAACATGCACAACATCCACCCTCTCTGCATATACCATACGTGTTTGTATGGGAAACGTCACCCCAGTGCCTGCCAAAGCCACAGCCATAAAGAAATCACACTGTCTCCCTGAGCGGCCGGTCCCCATGGACGTCCCTGTGGGCCTGGTGCTGACTGACCAGCCTTAGGGAGGTGGTGGGAAGCGGGCCCGGCTCCAAGGACGGCGGCCCCCCGTGTGGCCAACAACAGTGAGGTGCCTGGTGTGAGGAGGTGCCTGGCTCATCGAGGCCTCTCTCGAGTCTCTGGCTGAGACACTGAGGCACCCGGGCGCAGAGCGGGAAAGACCTCGGTGAGGAAGCCGAGCACAGGCAGGACACGGCGAGGCTGACATGGGTCTCATTTTCGGATCAGGCTAGTCCCGCCTTTTAGAATGAGTGAGGAAGGCTTCACCTCTTTTCTTTTGTGGGAGAATTCACTGGCATTCATTCTTCCAATGTTTGGTAAAATCCACCAGTAAAACCATCTGGTCTGGTACTTTTTTGGGAGGTTTGTTTGATTACTGATATAATCTCTTTACATGTTGTGGGTCTGTTCAGGTTTTCTGTGTTTTTGGAGGATCAGTTATGACCATTTATGTGTTTTTAGGAACTTGTCCATCTTATCTAGGTCAAGATGGACAAAACCACAACACAAGACTTACGGGGCGCAGGGAAGGGGTGCGCCAAAGGAACCTGACAGCTCTAAAGGCCTACATGTAGGTAACAGCAAGACTCAAATCAATGTGATAGTATAGCTTACGGGACTAGAAAAAAAAGAAAAGAAAAGACAACCAAACCCAGAGCTAGCAGAAGGAAGGGAATAATAACAATAAGAGTGAAGGTAAATGAAACAGAGAACAGACAAACAACAGAGAAGATCAAGGAACCCACTGGTTCTTTAAAGAAATCAACAAAATTAACAAGCCTTTCGCTGGAATGACAAAAAATGAAAGTGAAGTCACAGATAACTAAAATCAGAAATGAAAGTGGCAACATCACTACTGACCTTACAGATTAAAAGAGAATAGTACTAGGAACAATTGTACGCCAACAAACCATATACAGAAATTAACTCAAAATAGATCAAAGGCTTAAATATACGCTCTAAGAGTCTTAGAAAAAAACACGGATAAATCTTCATGATCTGAGTTTTGGAAATAAGTTCTTAGATATAACACCAGCAATTAAAGAGAAAATAAACTGGACTTCATCAAAATGTGAAACTTCTGTGCAATAAGACACTATGAAGAAAAAGAAAAGGCAACATATAGAAGGGGAGGAAACATCTGAAAATCACACACTTTCTTGCAAATCTCATAAAGAGCTCTTATCTCAACAACAAAAAGACCAAAAAAATTTTTTGAAAAACTGGGCAAAGGATCAGAATATACATTTCTCTAAAGAATATACGCAAATGGCTAATAAGCCCAAGAAAAGATGCTCAATAGCATTGGTCACTAGTGAAACAGCATCAAAACCACAACGAGATATCACTTAATACTCACTAGGATGGTTATAATAAAAAAGACAGAAAATGGCAAACGCTGGCCACAAGGATGTACTGATGGGCATGTGAAATGGTGTCCCTGCTGGGGAAAACAGTTTTGATGGCTCCCCAAAGAGTCCTGTGGAATAACCATATGACACAGCATCTCCAAGTTTATAGCTAAAAGCATTGAAATTAGGTACGCAAACAAGTCCTTTTACACAAATGTGCCTCAGTATCTGTGAGTCAAACAGTGGAAACACCCAAATGTCCACGGATGGATGAATGGGTAAACAAAATACGGCAGAATCAGAGGATGGAATATCATCCAGTCATGAAAAGCAGTGAAGAACCAACACATGCGACAGGAGGAGGACGCCCACGAACATGCTGAACGGCGGACACCAGGGACAAGGTCGCGTGTCAAAAAAGTCTATTTCTATGAAATATCCAGAACAGGTTAATCCATAGAAACAGATCAGCAGGGTCTGAGGGAGGCCCTGGGGGTGCCCGCTTAATGAATGTGGGTCTCCTCTGGGGGTGCTAGAAATGCTTGGAACTAGACAGAAGTGGCAGTTGCATGACATCGTGACTGTGCTAAACACCACTGAACTGTGCACTATAAATGGTTAATTTTGTGAGAGAGAGAGAGAGAGAGAGAGAGAGAGAGAGTTCAAAGGTGCCTACATCCAAACCACAGCCCAGGGTAGAACAAAGTCATGGATGCAGACAAAAAGCCAAGGGTATTAAACGTAGGAAGACCCGTCTCATCCATTTCTCATCACCCTCCTTCCAGACCCACGTTACCCATATATACCTTCCCTCGTGCAAAAACCAAGTGATTCTCTCTCTTCTACCTGCTCTTCCCGCTCTAGGACAAGTGAACACACGCTGCTTTCTCTCCCTCGGAAATGACTGTAAGATGTTACCAAGGGCTTCAGAAAACCAAACGGCGCTTTGCTTTAAGTGCAAGTTCCAGAGGGAATGCTCCCCTACCTTTGCAAGCTCGCTCCTCAGCTCTTCTTGCTCCTCCTCGGACAGGGTCTCCGTGACACTGATCGTGGCAGCAGCATCCTCTCCAGCCTCGGGGACTGGGTCTGTTCTCAGCAGACCTTGTCGGGGTTACAAAGAAAGGCTGTAAGACATGCGAGCTGAGCACAGTCTTCCTTTACGCCCGCCCCCGACCCAGCCAGTCACGCATTGAGGGTGGACCAAGCATCATCTGTCTGCCCCTTGAACCAACCCTGTTTGCCCAGAAAGGGCCACAGGAGACTCGGCACTAACCACAAAAAACCACCAGCTTCGACTCTGCCAAAGCTGGAATTTAGAAAGCACAGCATTTGCTCAGTTTCTGTTCATGTCCTCAGTCATGATATAGACACTGAGAAGCCGAGGAGTGACAAGGCCAGGAATGAAATCTTGGCGAGGCTGCAATCCTAAACCAGTGACTCGGCACCACTAGTAATTCTCAGGAAACGGGGGTGGGTGGGGGCGCTCCAGGAGGCTCTAGCTTCCCCTGGCTGTGAACCCACACTGCACCCCGCGGCGAGGGGGAACTGCGGAGCACTCGGCCTGTTTCCTTCCACTAGGGAGTGGGTGTAGGAAACACCTTCTCGTAGCTTTTGTGTGTGTGTGTGTGGCATGCACTCACATACAGGGTAGGGCAAAAGTAGGTTTACAGTTGTTTGTATGGAAAATAATACAATAATCCTATATAACAAAATGCTAATATGCAAATCAAATGAACGGTGGAACAACTGGTCACTATGACATGCACTGACCACCAGGGGGGCAGACACTCAATGCAGGAGCTGCCCACACCCTGCAGGCCCCGACCGTGGCAATGAGGAGTGGGGCCAGCGAGCAGGCGGCGCCAGGCCAGCCAAGGCGGGTGTGAGCATGGGCCCCGATCACCCCGCCAGTCGCCCCACAGATCGGTCCTGATCACTAGCCAGGCCTAGGGACCCTACCATGCATGAATTTCGTGCACCGGGCCTCTAGTTGAATAATATAAGAATAAACTGTGCTTTGAATACTCACAACTGTAAACCTACTTTTGCCCCACCCTGTACATATACATATGTACACGTGTGTGTATGTGTGTGTGTATTATCCAGGTCCCTTAGAAACCCCTAATGTGTATATTCAGAGAAAAGACCAGCACCCACGTGAACTCTCCACATTCTTCAAGACCAGTCGCAGCGGCGCCCGCTGCCCTGGGGCAGAGCCGGCCTGCTCCTCCTGCAGGAAGAGCCCACAGTCCCAGCATTCCTGCACAAGACCAGGGAGGCAGCAGCTCTGTCCTCGCTCCGCCCACCACCAGTGAGCCCCCACAACATGGGTGCAAAATTTAAGGGGCCCCCAAAAAACTCACTATGAGCAATTTTAATTCTTAATGCAATCATTTGTAAAAATCAAAGTTAATTCAAAGAACCCACGATGAACCAAATACCCATTTTGCCACAGGCTCCAAAACAGCTTTGCACAGCACTGCTCCTCCTCTTGTCTTTGTTTAAAACGTTAGTATTTTGCTCATCATGGGTTTCTTTACATTACTTTACGTTTTTTAAAGTACCACATTTACATATTATTTATCTTGCTCACCAAGCTCCTGGTGTCCCTTTAAATCCTACTCCTGTGTCACAGTCCGCTCGTCCACCCTGTACCCATGTCACAGTTACCCCCTGTCACAGGTGCCCCCCTGTCACAGGTGCCCCCCTGTCACAGTTACCCCCTGTCACAGGTGCCTCCTTGTCACAGGTGCCCCCCTGTCACAGGTGCCCCCCTGTCACAGGTGCCCCCCTGTCACAGTTACCCCCTGTCACAGGTGCCTCCTTGTCACAGGTGCCCCCCTGTCACAGTTACCCCCTGTCACAGGTGCCCCCCTGTCACAGTTACCCCCTGTCACAGGTGCCTCCTTGTCACAGGTGCCCCCCGTCACAAGTGCCCCCCTGTCACAGGTACCCCCTGTCACAAGTGCCCCCCTGTCACAGGTACCCCCCTGTCACAAGTGCCCCCCTGTCACAGATAGCCCCCTGTCACA